CGAACCCGGGACCCTTCAGTCCGCAGGCCGATGCTCTATCCACTGAGCCAAACCGGTCCCGGCACCCCTAAGCACTTTTGCCTACCTGCCTGATCGCCCCTAACTGCTCACCTACCGGCCTGATTGCCCCTAACTGCTCCCCTGCTGGCCTGATCGCCCCTAACTGCCTCTGCCTTGCCCTGCACCCAGGACCCAGGATTCCCTCCTCTGGCTGGTCACAGGCACCCTGGACCTGGGCTTCCTTCCCTCTGGCCAGCCGCAGGCACCCAGGACCTGGGCCGGCTTCGTCCAGGCCGCAGCTGCAGGCACACAGGACCGTCGGGCAGGTGGCTAGTCCCTCTCCTGGGCCGCAGCTGCAGGTGCTGGCGCCCGGGACTGTGGGGCGGGCGGCTTATCCCCCTCCCGGGCCGCAGGTGCAGCCACTGGCACCCAGGACCGCCAGGCAGGCGGCTTGTCCCTCTCCCAGGCCGCAGCCTGGCTGGTCCCCATTCCTCTCTCGCAAGCTCATTTGTGCCTGGCTGGTCCCCATTCCTCTCTCCCCAGTGTTGAGTGTCTGAATGGTTAAGGCATGATGGCATGAGGATGTGATGACCATTTCATATTAGTTCTTTATTATATAGGAAAACTATAATTTTTTTTTTTGGAAAACTATAATTTAAATAGCTGCTTACTCTTGCTTTTGATGGATTTGCCATTACCAAGCTATTTTTCAATTCTTGAACATTTAGGTTATTTTTTTGAGAGGAAGGGAGAAGGATAGAGAGTTAGGAACATCAGTGAGAGAAACATCGATCAGTTGCCTCCTGCACACCCCCAACTGAGGATGTGCCTGCAACCAAGGTACATGCCCTTGACCAGAATCAAACCTGGGACCCTTGAGTCCGCAGGCTGATGCTCTATCCACTGAGCCTAACTGGTCAGGGCGACATTTGGGTTATTTAAAATTTTTTATTTTTAACTTTTGTAGGTAATAATACAAGTATTTTTTTTTCCTGCAAGTATTTTTATATGCCCATAGATTTTTGCCTCTATGAGGTTTTTCTTTTGGAAAAATTTCAATATTTTTGCATCAAAGGTATAAACATCTTTATGCCCTTTGCTTTAAAGAACTTTACGAACTTGTGTTTTTATTGTATAGTTATTGTATCATATTTTACCAACATTGAATACTATTTTAAAGAATATTTGTTGATTAGATATAAAAAGTGATCTCAAATAGTTTTAATTTGCAATTTTAAATTAGTGACTTTTTTTAAGTGAATTCCCAACTTCCATCTTCCTGTTACCTTGTTATTTAGAGTATAAACACCAGACATAGAGCATCGCATCAGGCATACCTTGTGCTTTATTTTATTTCTTTTTCTTGTGCCCAGGTCTGGTCCATCGAACTCACATGTCATCCTGTCGTGTGGATAAGCCTTCTGAGATAGTAGATGTTGGAGACAAAGTATGGGTGAAGCTTATTGGCCGAGAGGTAAAGTTCTGTGTTAACTTCATTTGGTTAGAAAGGATTACGAAAAGCCAGGGTTTTCTTGGTATTTTATGATGGTGAGTGTGTATTAGCTGTTAATTGTGGCTGAGAATCTTATTTTGAATCCTGCCCCATAATCTGTCCTGAATATAAACCTTCTGGCTGGTTCTCCTCTCAAACTGAGAAGGAATGGTGTGAACTATTAAAAGTGTAGCACAAAAAGACATAGAGTTTACAGTCACTTTTCCTAATACCTGGCACCATGCGACATGAGGAAAGTGAGAAAGCTCCGAAGAACCCTGTTACAGCTCACTTTAGGATAAGTGGGCTGTGGGTCATTCATTCATAGGAAATTTTATAATTTTTATTTTTAACCTTTGTAGGTAATAATACTGCAAGTATTTTTTTTTAAATATATATTTTATTGATATTTTACAGAGAGGAAGGGAGAGGGATAGAGAGTTTTAGAAACATCGATCAGCTGCTTCCTGCACACCCCCTACTGGGGATGTGCCCGCAACCAAGGTACATGCCCTTGACTGGGATCGAACCTGGGACCCTTGAGTCCGCAGGCCGACGCTCTATCCCTCTCCCTGAGCCAAACCAGTCAGGGCATACTGCAAGTATTTTTATTTGCCCATAGGTTTATGGGAAGACCACAGGAGAAATATGAACATGTACTGAGGCCTGCTCTGCTACCAGGGGAGACAGCCTGAAAGAGATACTGTTCAGCAGTATTTGAGTGCTTAATGTGCATTAGGTCTGAGGGGTATAAGAGTGAACTAGACATAGATGACCCCAGCTATTATAGAGCTTATATAGAATATAACTGGAGGAGAGGAAGAAAAAGTAAACAAATTAAAATAATTAAAAATTATGGTAAGTGCTGTAATGGGTTCAAACAGTATCAGAAGTAGGCTTAGATAAAGTCGTCAGGAATGGGCTTTCTGAGGAGATGGAGTGTGAGCTGGGAAGGAAGTAGTCATGAAAAGTTGGGATAAGGATATTCTAGGTAGAGAATAGCTGGTCAAAGACCCTGAAGTGAAGAAGGGCTTCAGATGCTGGAGGAAGCAAAAGAAGACCAATGTGGTTAACAATTGTCCTCATGTTTGTAGAGGTTCTAGACCAGCCGTGGGCAAACTACGGCCCGCAGGCCGGATCCGGCCCATTTGAAATGAATAAAACTAAAAAAAAAAAAGACCATACCCTTTTATGTAATTATGTTTACTTTGAATTTATATTAGTTCACACAAACACTCCATCCATGCTTTTGTTCCGGCCCTCCGGTCCAGTTTAAGAACCCATTGTGGCCCTCGCATCAAAAAGTTGCCCACCCCTGTTCTAGACCAAGTCCAAAAGGAGATCTAGCCTATTGGAATGTTCTGAAACTCATTCTGGGCTCATGGATCTCTGCATTGGTCATTATGCTGAATTTACCTGAAGAAACAGCTTTTCTTTTCTGCTGGGTTACTTCG